TGCAAATGTTGATAACAGTGTTTTGAGGCAGTAGAAAGAAAGAGTTTTAATATATAAAATACTTCCTAAAAAATCATATATGTATACAGCATAGCATATATATGTATACTACATGTATAGTGCAATATTTAGTTTCATCTGACATGTTAGACAGTGAGCCACGATGCTGAAAGTAAGTTATTTAAGAGTGATACAGCACTGCTTTCAGATGCATAATTTTTATAAAATTCATAAATTGGTTTAGTAGTGTGTACAGTAAATATAAATTAAAAATAAATCGTACTGGTTTGTTATCAGGGCCGGGTCCAGAAATGTATGTATGGATGGATGGATTCATGTATGCAAATATATATGTATCTGTGTGTGTATACATATATATATATGCATATACATACATGTGCATACATACATAAACTTCTGAATCCAATCTTGATAACAGAAGAGTACCAAATAAATAAAACTACTTCTCATTCAAAACCTTGCCACACTGATAACAACATGTATTACAAACCATAGCAACAATCTCAGGAATTTTTTTGTTTCTTTTTAGTGCTCATATTTCTTTTTACACGGAAAAACTAAGTGCTGCATATCGCAGGAGTGGTACAGAAGCAATTTTACTTTTAAAGTACAAATTTTTTAAATTTCTTTGTTTCTCTTTAGTGTTCATATTTGTTTTTACATGGAAAAACTAACTGCTGCATAAAAAGTTAAAATTAAGAGTACCTTCATTGGATCCAAGAAAAGCAGATTGTCATACAATATTGCATTTAAATTTAATGTCTTGATTATGCTTCAGAGCACGACAATACAGCAGCTATGAAAAGCATTTTGGTCCACCTCTGAGAAGATGATACAAGAATGGAGAAAGTAGATGACGGATTTAGTGAATGCAGATAGAAGTAGACCTTTATGTTCATATACTCTAAAATGGTTAAAGCTTAAAGGCCATGTTATGAATTGGATAATAAACCACAAGATGAATGGGATTACTGTTTCAACAAAAAATATTTTAAGTAGCATAAAAAAATTAGCAACAGATATGTCTATTAACAATTTATCTGGACAACATCATGGTGCAAGAGATTCACGGAAAGAAATGATCTCTACATGCGTATCAGAATTACAATAGCACAAAAACTGCCACTTCAACATGAAAGAAAGGTTATTGAATTCCAAAAATAAGTCATAAACTTAAAATGCATTTTGAGATAGTACAAATAGGAAATTTGGACAAGGTATCCCTGACATTTGATGTGCCATCAAATAAAACAGTGGATGTTACAGGTGCTAAAACAATAACAATAAAGACTTGAGGTGGTAATGAGATGTGCTATACTGCTGTTCTTGTGTGTTGTGCAGACGGTTTAAAACTTCCTCATCTGTTAATCTTTTAACAAAAAATGCTATCAAATATACAATTCTACATGAAATTTATATTAATGTTTTATGTTCCTCCCAAAGGATAGACGAATGGTCTGTGTATGAAGGTGTGTTATAGGCATCCAGTAGACTTCAAAGGAATCATCTTTATTAGTGTGCAATCAGTTTAAGGTCCATATAAAAGAGTCGGCAAAAATGTTTGCTACTGAACTGAAGCCGCATCTTGCTGCCATTCCTGGTGGATTGAACTCTTAATTGTAACCTACAGTTAGCCACAAAAGTCTGCGTACAGACTAAATTTTAAATTTAAAAAAACACTTAAAGCAAAGAAAAATGTATTTTAATCATTGCATTTTTTCTTCTATTAGCTAAAATTGTAAGCTTAAATAAAAAGTAAACAATATCAGTGTAATACTTTTTACATTTTTTCAAAAATATATTTTGTCAAAAAAACTCAGAAATTCCCTCCAATAAGTCTGTGTACACTTTCAAAAAAAAAGCAAAATATAAGTTTTTTACATTACTTCAATACTTTGTAGGATATCCTTTATTCTTCAAAACAGCTTGCAGACATCTGGGCATTGAATGAACTAGTTTTTCAGTGTCATCCGATGTAAATTTTCCTCATTCTTTCTGCAATTTGCTAATTAGCTCATTTCACGACGTAATATTGTGTTTTCGAATTCGTTTCTCCAATTTTGCCCACAAATGTTCGATTGGATTGAGGTCTGGTGGAGGAGTACGCAACTGTCTTGGAGTGTTATAGAGGAGATATTCCTTCACAATTTTAGCTGTATGTTTCGGGTCGTTGTCTTGTTGGAAAATAAAGGCATTAGAAAGGTTTAAATTTCGGGCACTGTCTCATAGATTTTTCTTCAGAATATCCAGATAAACATACTTATCCATGACTTTATCAATAATGTGAAAATTTCCAACTCCTTTCGACGACATACACCCCCATACCATCACACCGCCAGCTCCATGTTTGACAGTTGGATTTAAATTTCTCAGATTCAGTTCTGTTCCTGGTTTTCTCCATACAATAGGGTGGCCATTAACTTTAAATATTGTAAATTTACTTTCATCTGACCAAATTACATTGTTCCAGAAGTCCTGCTAAGAGTTTAAATATGTTTTGGCAAAAGCAATTCTTTTCTTTCTATATGTCTCGGAAATGTATGGCTTAGACCTAGGTTTGCGTCCATGATAATTGGCCTTTTGCAGCACTTTTCGTACAGTTTCAGGAGAAATTTCCTTGTTGCTAGTTAAAAAAATGTCTTTTGCAATGCTTGCAGGAGAAAGTTTAGGATTTTGTTTAATTCGTAAAATAATTTTTCTTTCTTCTCTCTACGTTAGCTTCTTCGGTCTCCCACATCTTGGTTTTACAGCAAGACTACCAGCGTCAAGATAGTTTTGAATAACTCTTTGCACACTAGAAAATGGTTTTCCAATGGTTTTACCAATATAGCGAAGAGTTTTACCTTTTTCTCTCAATTTGATAATTAGTTGTCTCGTAACTAAAGGAATTTCTTTATTGGTTATTATTTTCGTCAAAGAAAATATTTGCTTCGGAAGTCAATGACCTTGAAAGTGTAACCTTCTTTGCATTCTCAAATTTGAAGTTTAAAAGTTAGATAAGAAATCCCCCCCTCCTTCACGTTGTACGCAAACTTTATTGGCTTTGATTTCTGGCCACTTATCTTTTAAAAATTAGTGTGCATAAATTATTAGATATGAAAATATTACAGTTAAATAATTTCAAAGTCCCTTATTGAAACTAAATATTTAAAAAATAAAACTTTAAGAAACTACCCTTTTCGCACATTAAAATTTGGATTTGATATTACTTTTCTTGATGTACGCAGACTTTATTGACTAATTGTATGTATGTTTCTGTTAATAAACCATTCAAGGGATTTATGCATGAACAATGGATAATGTGGATTGAGGTGTCAAATTATAACATGACACTGACACAGGAAGAATGAAATAGTCTGTCAATTTCTAATGCTTGTGAGGAGGTGAAAAGCTCCCGGCAGGAAGTTAAAAGTCAGACTATCATACAGCCTCTTAAAAAGTGTGGAATTAACAATGTGTTTGATCAGAGTGAAGATGACATTGTGCATGAGAAAAGAGACAACTCCAAGGAGAATGACAACGAAAATGAAAATAACTGTGTATGCAATTTTAGCAGCAGTGATGGCGATTGAATGAAAGCTGATATATTTGCTATTTTTTTAATGCAACAGTTCCATTTTTTTTTTTCATATAATGTGTTGTGAATAAAATAGGTACTTCGATCCTTTTTTGTCTGATCCCTAACCTGATAAATCACAGTGTGTCTATTAGGCCATAAAATAAGAGAATTCCAGCATACCTATTACTGTTGCACTGGCTATGATCCAAAAAACTCACTGCTCTATTATGTTAGAGAAATTTAATTAATTTATCAGTCATTCAAATATTCATTTTTTCAAACATAGCAAAATATATAAAACTGTTTTCTGTATGGTATTTTGGCAAATGAATCACTTTACCCTAAGTAAACAAACATTTTTGTGGTAATTAAACATTTTGTATATTATGAATAATTTAACAGATCTAGCCCTTTAATTATTCTTTTTAGCAAGATAGATATTTTGCTTAGTCAACTATTCCCCAAGGCATTTAAGTTACACAGTCGTGAAAAGAATATTATTTTATGTGGTCTTGCACCCACACCAGATATATTATAGCATTAGGCAGTAAAGAAAAATTTAGAGAAGTGTTGAGTCACACGTTACAAACATTATCTATCACATGATTGGTTTTACTATGGTAACTAATAAACATCTATTGTTAGACACTACTACTAAGCCGTTTAAAAAAACAGATAAAACTTTTAAAAATTTTAGTTAAAAACTTCAGAAGAGATTTTTTTCAAGTTTTCAGAATTCAAACAAACTTGACCCTCATATGTTTATTTATCTATTTCACTAAAGGATAAAATAGTCTATCATTACTCTTTTATAACTTAATGGACAAAATATTTGTATAAATGCATGTCACAATTACTTTTAAAAGTAGAAAACTCATAAAAAATAAAAAAGTAATTACATTTGGTTAGCTTTTCTGGAAACACTGTGAAAAAGTAATTAATGAGATTCTCAAAGTGTTTGCCATCCATGAAATAATAGCATGACACTACATAATCTTATTTTAATTAACATTTCATTTTCATCACTTGAAATGCATCCTTATTACCTACTCCATTTGAGGTTTGAAGAAGTTTGATAGACTTTTGGTGGATCCTTTTCATAACAAATCCCGACAAGAAATATTATAGGGCTTTAAAAAGACAAATATGAAAACTAACACACTGATTCTATTTCAACCTTGAACTTCAAATTAAAAAAAAAAAAATTAAAGTTGATACAAATTAAGCAAATTTTTATCCATTTGATTTATAATTTAGCCAACATGCATTTATAATTTTATCTGCTATAACATTTTTGCACGATCCACATAAGATTTAAAATCTCTTCTTTCTTTGAAATACTATTTAAAAAAGGAGATAAAATAACACACAAACTCTTACATAAATATTCATAAAACCAAAGGTGTTTTAAAGAAATTACCTTAACTAATTTTTTCCTTCCAAACTGGGGTTTTCCATCTGGACCTTGAGGATCAAGTATAACACAATACTGACGGTTGGACAACGTTGTTACAGTTACAATACCCAGAACTTCTTCATAGACACCAGGTATATATGTCTCTGTATCCTGCATAGTTATCAACCATTCTTCTCCATTTTTTCTTGTTTTTCCAAAGTCATCAACAAATGTCTTTTTAGCTTTGACATGAACAGCATCCTAGAAATTTTGATTATGAGCATGTAAATTATTTATTCCACTTTCCAACACATTTATTGTTAATTACATATCACTTGAAGCCAAAGTTCTGCTAATTTTATAAATGATCATTATTTTTAGCAATAAAAATTATTTAATTTTAAACTGAAATAAAACATCCACATGGAGAATGAATTATAGTATTATCTTTTCTAGTAAAATTTAAATTTCTAAAATCTTTTGCAAAATCTGCATTATATTAAGAACTTTTTTTAGCTCAAAAGGAGTATTAGCCTCAAAATACGATGGCATTTGTCTTAAAACATGATTTTTTGTTGTTTCAGTTTTCGTTTGAATCTGGTGCCATTCTGAAAAATGTTAAAATATTATTCTTTCATATTTAACACGTTAAGGAAGGCGCACATTTTGCTTTATTGTGCCATGGGACGGCAGTGCCTTTAGCGAAAGACCTCAAAGGCTGCTATCACACGTCGGTTTGTTTCGGAAGAACAACTGTTTGGAACAATTTTTCTGCTTTGTCACAACAGCCAATCAACACAGATCGCTTTGGGGTTAACGCAGGGGAAACTGGTTTCCCATTACAAACAAGCTGATAGCATTCGAAGCTGATAGCTAATTGGTTGAAAACGAACAACCTGCAATTTTTTTGAAAACGAAGGAAAAAGTCGTGCGTCTTTCTTTCAATAGTAAACCAGGCAGAAAAATTGTCCGAAACAGTTGTTTGTGTGAAACAAACGCCGTGGGATATGGGCCTTAAATATTGGGTTGCCCGGAAAATAATGTATGTTTTTATAAATGTTTAACTTTCCTGTACATTTTTAGCAGCAAAAATAATTTGAATTAAATTGGTTTACATAGCATTTTGAAGCTCTATTTTTGCTTTATATTTCTATAATAATCATTTTGTTCCAAAATTATTTTTAAAAAAATATTTGCTAGGTGTTTTTGTTTAGATGTCAAAATGGGATTTTCTGCAAATTTACTTTTATGAGTACAAGCTAGGCCACAGCGCAGCACAAACGGCTCGAAATGTCAACGAAGTATAGGGTGAGAAAAGTGTTAATGAATCTACAGTTCAACGGTGATACAAAAAGTTTCCTCGTGGAGAATCTGACCTGGGTAATAAAAAGCGTCGTGGACGCTCTTCAGCTGTTGATGATGATGATTTGAAGATTTAAGTTGAAACAAATACGTGCACAACGTTCAAGAGCTTGCGGGGGAGCTCGGCATAAGCAAAACAATGATTTCTGATCACCTGAATTGTATAGGAAAGTCAAAGAAGCTCGATAAGTGGATGCCTCACGAATTGACCGAAAAATTTTTAAAAAATCGCCGTTTTGAAGTGTCGGCTGCTCTTTTTCTTCGCAGCAAAAACGATCCTTTTCTACATTGAATTGTTATGTGCGATGAAAAGTGGATTTTCTCTAACAACTGGCGACATTTGGCTCAGTGTTTGGACCGTCGTCAGACACCACAACACTTTTCAAAGCCAAATTTGCACCAAAAAGAAAATTACTGTTTGGTGGTCTGCGGCCAGTCTCATCCACCACAGCTTCCTAAATCTGAGCGAAACGATTACGGCAGATAAGTACTGTCAGCAAATCAACGAAATGCACCAAAAATTGTAATGCATGTGCTCGGCATTTGTCAAGAGAACACGACCAGTTCCTCTGAAAGACTATGCTCGGCCACACATAGTACAACTGACCCTACAGAAATTGAACAAATTGGGATACGAGACTCTCCCTCTTACCCCATATTCGCCTGACCTCTCGCCGACCAATAACCACTTTTTCAAACATCTTTTTCAAACAAAATACACCTTTGACAACTTTATCGCATCCAGAACTTCAGAATTTTATTCTACCGGTATAAATAAACTTACATCTCGTTGGCAAAAATGCATTGCTTTGGCTGGTGCTTATTTTGATTAATAAAATTGTTTTTGAGTTATGATACTTTAAAGATATAAGTTGAAAACCTGCATTACTTTCCTGACAACCTAATAAATCAATGAACTTATGTACTACTGTATGTAACTTCTTGTTTAGTTTGTTAAACTTAATAACTTCTATACTTTAAAAGTAGACTCAACTAATGAGTATATCTCAAAAATTCAAAATTTTTATTATTACATTTTTAAACAGTTCACATGACATTCAGCTAGCACAGTAACACGTGCATCACAACAACGGAATCGCATAGCATGAGCGCCATTACAGTTAAAGTTATAGTTATTTACAGTTATAGTTATAGTTATTTTAAATATACATCACACTGTAAAAGTAAATAGAAAATTTTTACCGGCAGAAGCAAAACTAAAACAAAAGCAAAGTGACATTGCGAGCGTTGAAAATTCTAAAGAAGTTAAATTTTTTAAATGGACAGACAAACGGTCAGTTGCTTGACACAATCATACTTGTACTATGATTAAAGGAACAAGTGGTAAACTAAAACCTGATGCTATTTTTGACTACAATAATGCAAAAAAGTGCATTGATATATAAAATGTCACTGAAGCATTCACTCATAAACATGAGCGAAAAAGTCACTATTTTCTTATACCAATTCCACTACAAGCTTTGTATTTTTTTCTCCCCCCCTTTTTTTTTGATGCGTACATTTTGAAAGAGATTGTTCAAGGTAGTCTAACTGTACCAAGAGAAGCCAAATCTTCCTTGTATAACCATAGAAAAGGCCTTTATACTTCCATCTAAATGAAAACTTTTTACAGAAGATTTTTAAATAAACTTTTATGAAAATCCAAATACATAAATTGAAGTTGTTTTTGTTATCTGTAACAAGCTATCAATTTCAAAGAATAATGCAAATCTACCAAAATCATTTTAAAACAAAGCCTATGAATTAAACCAATAGGCCAAACTATAGGCAGCAATGAGATAAATAAAACAACTAACCTTATCAGTTAAAACATAGGCATTAACAACATCAACTATTTCTTCATAAGCACCAGGTAAATATGCTCCTGTTTTTTTAACAATCCATTCTTCTCCTGTTACTCTTTGCTTACTGTCTCTGTCCTTTGTCTCTGCACGTGCACGTAACTTTAAAGCTTGATTAGGATTTATTACAATAGCAGAAGCTGTTTCCACAACTTCTACCTCTTTACGAGGCACAAATGTACCTATAAAGGAAACAAAATAATGTTAACGTATTCCTTCTTTTACCAGTACAGTCCTTTACAAAAATTACAGACAGATGAATGTATTTAAAATTGCATATTGCTAATCAACACACATACACACACACACACACACAAAAAAAAAAAAAAAAAAAAAAAGAGAGAGAGAGAGAGAGATATCAACTTATAACATGCTGACAGTGCATCAACAATATGTTATAAAAGACAAATTTTAAATATTGTTTAGCTTTCTTGTAGAATTCACTTGATTAACTCCTGTGTGAGAACTGCAAGAGTAGTAACTGCACAGAAGAAGGGTTATAACACTGGTCATGTCTAATTGGACTGGTAATACCAAGAAGATTTTAGAGATAAAAACATTAGTTAATCTAAAAGATCTAAAATTAGCTGCAATGTATTTACAGAATATTTTGCATGCAGTGTGGGAAAATATATTGAAAGCAGTTACAAGGACTAATATGTAACATATTACCTTAATACTATTACACAACGATATATATCAGTTATCACAATTAGAACAATATGTTACTGATTTTACAATATGATTGGTGTTTGCAACTGTAACTATTATATTTTGATACTATGTAAATACATTGTTTCACAAAAAGCACAATAAGTGTTTCTTTGGAGAACATTTTGTCACTGAAGTTACCACTGAAAGTTAAAGCATTTGTTCCAATGAGTCTGAAATTTTAATCCTATATTAAAAATAACTTCCTTTAAAGGGTGCAAAGCAAGTATTAATGACAGTGACATTTCTATTTGAAGAAAATTTCTTTCCAACAAGCCAAACTTACAACTCAAATGCAGGAACACACACACACACACACCAAAAAAAAAAAAAAAAAAAAAAAAAAAAAAAATTGTTCAGAGACATGTCTGAAGGTAAGGTGGATAAGTCTCAACTGAAAACACAGTTCTTGCAAGTTTGCCCCTGCAGTGGTTGATCTGTGATGTGACATACTGTCTTGGTAAAGGAGTGAATTCTTCATGTCAATCTCAGCTGTTTTTGTTTCAGTTCTTCTTTCAAATTATACATTATTGCTATAAAAAGGACTTCTGTCATTGGTTTTCCCTTTCACAAGTGATTAATGAAAATGATTCCTTAAGAACTGAAAAATAGTGGTCATATCATAACCAATAAAAGATCTTTCACATTCTTATATACGCACCTTCATCACTTGTTGCTCACGGCTTTGAATCATATGTGTAGTGGTGGATCTATGTTTCGCGCAAATTTATAAACTGACATAAAGAAAAACCTTTCACATGGCAGTCAAACACCACCACACACGGTTTTCAAAATCTCTTTTTTAATGCATTTTTCATTGATACAAAGCTACTGTGTTGTACATCATTCACACAGCCTTTTCATGGAAGGATACAATGCACTCATTCATTCAAGATGTATACAAACTCAGGAATTTCACCTACTTGTTAACCTTTCATAATAATACCATGAGCTTTAATGCTATCAGTCATAGATTCATGCTGTATTTCATCTTCAGTGTATCTTCACTCACCTTTTAAAGTCATTTATCAAATAAAAGGTCTTCTTACACTGATGCAGAATCAACATAAATTTTAAATAAGTTTATTTGAATCTAGGAGGATTTTCACTTCAGATGAAAAGTGTTTATCATTAACCTACACCCTTTTTGTTTAGAACTGCCATAATTCTTCTTTTAAACACATGTAAAATGCAAAGTAATTGCTTATTGGTTGAAATTCAGTTTGAAATAGTTTGAAGAATAACACCAGCCAGACACAATGTTACTAAATGAATTATAAACAGTTTGAAGAATAACACTAACCAGACACAATGTTACTAAATGAATTATAAACACCATCTCATAGAAATATACCAAACTCATCAAATGGTCTATATAGTCTTATACGTAACTGCTCTACCGGCTGAAATATCAAAATGAAAGCAAATGATATCTCATAATAATGATCTACTATGTGATGCAATAACAAACAAATCTTATGTTTTAGTCTTATTATAGTTACACAAGAAGGTTTACAAGAAATGATCAAAACATAAATGCAAGAAAATAATTAAAAATTTTATCCACCTAGAGATTTTCTTACATGCTAAAATCCTGAAATGCTACTTTGTACACTAAATAAAACTTTATTTCACATAACATTTCATTTCAAATAAATTAAAGTATACAAAACTTGTATAACTGCAAATATTGCCTTCAATGGATAAAAAATGAGTCTAATTGAGCTGTAATGGATTGAATACTTATATTCCAAAATACATATTCAATATAGAATATATATGAACAATAGCCAAATTTGATCCAAATAGCAGATAATAATCCTGTTCTCTGCAAATAAAATGTAACTGAAGATGAAAACTTAATGCTTTGAAACAGCAGTTATTGCTTCAGTTGGAAAAATTTTATCATGATTATTGCTTCAATTGGAAAAGTCATATCAAAGACACTCCATATTGGTGATATTTTCATAGGAAATGAATAATTATATTAATGTGCAGATTTTTTTAAAAGAAAAGTTAACAATTGGGCTTCAAACACCAAATGAGTAGCTGGTTTTTTTCTGTAAAACAATGCACCTTTATACAATTTCATTCTCACTGAACAATTTCCATCAATAAAAGTATCACAATTCTTAACTACTTTCTTTTATTTATCAGAATTAGTATCTGCAGATTACTCACTCTTTTCTAAAGTGAAGTCTCACTCCAAAGGTCATTTTATATTTTAAAAGCACTTAGGAAATTAAAAAAATTGTAATCAGAGACATATATTCCAAAAAATGAATTATCTGAAGGAAATAAAAAGCTATAAACAAATGAACAAGGACTGCATATTGAAAGCTAAGAAATGAGAATGTTTTAATTTTTAATTTTTCACAAACTTTATCCTCAAATTCTGAAGACAAACTTTGTTTACAACATTATTTGGAATTAAAAATTGAAATATCCCACATATATTTGATATTTTAAGAACTTAGATACTTCTTAAAGCCCTATTACATCTTAATTCCTAATATAAAAGAAAAAACATTAGCTTACCAGGACCCTCGAATAACCACTCATCTCCAGCAACTCTTTTTATACCATTGTCTTCAAAATCCCGAATAGCTTTCAGTCTTAAAGCACTATTAGAGGAGACAACTATCATAGGTGTAACATCCTATACAAGTAAAATGGAAATATATATATTATCAATTAATATAGTTAGCAAATATTGAAACAGGCTATTGTTTTTCTTTCAACAGAAAGTATGTTTTTATCAATTTGGAAAACGTAATACTTAAAAGCACACACCATATTAGAAAGCACAGAATAATAACAAAGAAATTTTAATAACATATGTAATTAATAAAATTTATAATACATTTAACTGATAATTTACAATACATTTAAATGATATAATTTATAACACACTGCCCTCCAAAAGTTAACGAACAGCATGTTTTTTGTGTCTAATTTGAGAATGAAGACACAGATCTACACAGATCTTTAATAAATGTGACATAGAATGTTTCTATAGTTCAACACAAACATGACATACAACAAAAAATTGCACTCTTGGCAGAGAAATTCGGTCTTGGAGAAATAGCATAGCACAATTTTTGAGGGAAAATGGGGTGGTAACGTAACAAAAATGGGTTCTAATAAGAAATGTGTACACTCCTAGCTGAAATACAATGGTGACAGTGATGCTTCATACTGTCAATTAATTTAACAGTCAGTGAAATGGGAAACAACGATCAGACACAGAGTAATCCTTCAAGTTCATCCAACAACCCTGGAGAAAGACTTGAAACAGCAACCTGTCTTTCAATGTAGTCCCAAAGATGCTCTATTGGATTTAGGTCTCGGGATTGAGCTTGCCATTCCATCCGATCCACACAGTGACCTTCAAGATATTCTTCAGCAACCCGAGCTTGGAGTGGTCACACATTTGGCATGAGCATTGGTGTGGTCGCGAAGAAAGCCAGGACAAATAGCAGTGGCATATGGGTGGACTTATTGATCAAGGATCTCATCTCGATACCTCACACAGGTCAAAGTTCCTCCATAGAACTCATGCAGGTCAGTGTGACCAACGAGAGAGATCTCAGACCAAATCATTATTCCCCCACGTCTGTTACTGTGTCTTTCCACAATGTGGGCTTGATTGTATCTGGTACGTTGTTCTCTCCAGATTAGCTGACGACCTGAATCACTCTCCATTGTGAACCTGGACTTGTCTGTGAAGAGAACAAACAGATGCCCATTATTGACTGGTCCAGGAGATGTGTTCTATTGCCCAACATAAATGGGCAACTCTGTATCCTTGGGTCAAGGAGACACAAAAACTGGTCGTCTTGCATACAGACCTGTATTGTGCAGACATCTGCACACTGTAGTAGCTGAGATTCTTGTTCCTGTTACCACTAAATGATCTGCCATGAACTGAGGCACAGTAATATTACTCCTCCTTCGGGCCAAAAGAGCTAAATAATGGTCTTCCGCAGGTTTGTAACTCTAGGTCTGCTTGGAACATGTCTTTTGCACACAGAATCCTCAGATTCAAACCTATTCCATAGTCAGTAGACCACATTACAAGAGACACTGTGATGTCTAGCAGCATCAGCTTGTGACAGCCCCATTTCCAACCATCAGATTGCTAGCCACCGCAACAAATCGGGCAAATGACTTCTAGATATTGTTCATGAAACTGTAATAACAACTGAAGATAAACACTCGTGAACAAATTTACAATTTTTGCATTTTTTCTCCAATTCCTATGTAAGTATTCATTTCTATAAAATAAAAGTGGTAGCTATTGTTTTAGCATATATTTTCTCAAACTTACAGATTACAGGTACTTACTGATTACAGGTATAAAAACTGATATAAATATGTATTATTTTAGTAAATAACATGGACAATACTGTTACTGGTCAAAATTATGTAGCGATCTTAGGATTAGGCTTTGGCTGTAAGAATTCACAAAATCTATATTATTCATTCAATATTACTCGTATAGATTTCAACGTTTTTAGGGGTTTTGACAATAAATAGTGAAATAAAATCCTTAAATTAAGATGCAGCAATTCAGCTTTCATTTACTTTTTGCAGAAGAAGAAAGATATTTTTTTTACAAGAGAATTTGGCACTTCCTTGTTAAATCAGCCTTCACATAAGTTTTTGGCAACATCTGAAATTTCTTCTTCACAGACTGCAATGGGAATTAATGTAATTGCCACTTTCATACAGAAGTAACAATAACTTTTATCATTAAATAATTATTAGTAGAAAAACTGATATAAATACAGTACAAAATCCGAAATCCGGACGTCCATTATCCGGAATAATTTAAAATCCGGACCTCAAAGCCACAATTTTTTTTTTTTTTTTTTTTTTTTGTATGCTTTACGCATGCACATTTGATTTTTCCTTCCATAATAAAACACGTGGAGCTTTTCACTTAAAACTTCCGATTCTTAGTTTCACTTAGGCATTAAATAAAATAGCTCGTTATGAAAAAAAATCATGTAAGCATAAATTTGCGAGATTAATAATTTGGTTCCGTAGCTGAGTATCTGCTTGGCATACATCTCAAACATTCCATTCACCGCTGTTTGCTGTGCTTACCGAAACATAAACTTATTTTATATCTCTGACACCGACCTGGTGAGTCATTATTTATTATATTTTGCTTTCATCACCGCATGTTTATCAATACATGACAGCTTCAGTAATAACTCATGCAGTGATGTCTAAACTTTTTTTAATATTAGTAATTGAATAACAAGAGTATGGTGACCTTTTATGCTAACATTACACTTGGCGATGATTATAGATTTTAAAATGTTCTAAGAAATGTTGAGAGGAAAAAATCAACAAAAGTTTCTTTTCATATGCTAAAAATAGATTTTGTTAATGAAACGCGAAGGCCAAAAGATTACATTTAGTGCTATTTAAATTAAGAATAACTGATATGTTACTCACCATAAACCCATAAGCGACGGCAGAATATGTCGGCACTGGTCGGCAGAATTTACTGAAGATGAAATTTTTGGAATTTGGGGAAGCACCAAGCAAGAAAATTAAGGGATGAGAAGTTTTTTATGATTTAGGGAAATCACTGGGATGCAAAGTTTAGGTGCAGTGAAAATTTAGAACTTAGGAAGGAGCTTTGTAGCAGAATTTAGGACCCGTAGAGACTGCACTATGTGGTATTTGGCGCCGGCCCTAGATAAAGCATTAAGTATATGTGGAAGTTTATTTATTTAGGACTCAGATTAGTTTGAAGCATGTGCAAAAATTAAACGTAGGTATAGTAAATAACTAAACTAATACAATTCAGGCTTAATTTAGTACGCAATAGGAGCAAGACAAAATTTAGTGAAACAACTTAACTTTCATCGCCAATCTTGTGATACACAGCCAATAATGTATAACGGAGGCTATTAAGCTAGGCTAAAATTATCTTTATTGATTCTAAGAGATTTCAGTTAATGTAGCAGACTCCTAATGCTCCCTGATCTTCTAGTTTGATCCAGCTAATTACTTTTTGCAGACTGTTATTATTAGGGCAATTTTATAAAAACTAAGCTTGAACTTTCGATTATGTCAAAAAGAGTTTCCAATTCTGGAGTTGCCAAATGATCTACAAAGCGAAATGATGTTTCAATGTTCATTAAACAAAAAGTAGAATTGCTGCAAAAAATGGATAAAGGCTTATCCATCTCAAAATTATGCGAGGAGTATGGCATTGGAAAGTCCACTGTATACGACACAAGAAAAAAGAAAAAGGAACTTTTTGAATTTTTTGTGGAAGCACCTTAAACAACTTACACTGAAAGAAATGTTTAATAAAGTAAAATTAATGTTAAGCTTTTTTTTTTTTTTTTTTTTTTTTTTGTAAATTTTGATACCTTTTAGATCAAAACTGTTCTTTGTTTCATAAATTACGATTCATATGTTTAATTGTATAATTCCTGCATGCCATCTTACCAGATTTAAATTGATGATTGAATATCTGGAAAATTCCCAAATATGGAATCGCCAAAGTTCTGATGAGTCTAGATTTCGGACTTTGTACTGTATATATTATTTTAATAAATAATACGAACAATACGAGTAAAAATAGAGATATATTTCATTAAAAAAATTAATTTTATAGCAACATATTTACTATATTCCTTTATGTTTGTATGGATTATGTTAATTTATCTAACAGTTAAATTTTGAGTTGAAGTTACTTTCGTATCCTTTCTTAATTTCAAGCTTACAACTTACAGCCAGAATGCAGTTTTAGAATCGCATTTGAATACAAATGAGAAGTATTTAACTGTGAAGTTATAGTGACTTCGTTAAAAAGAACCAGTAATTCTGAGTAGCGCGCGTTTGCCTTTTTAGGCTGCCCTCTCTTAAGCTATTATTCGGCCGTACTTTAGGCCCTAGATAGCTTCGCTCTTATTTAGCGTTAAGGGGCCAACTCTGTTAGAATCTTGATAGCTTCAGATATATCTTTTTAGTTAAGATTAGTTAAGTTTAATTTCTTAGTTCCTAAGTTCAAGCCTGAGTGAAGGCTTGAGTGGATTGTAAAACTCCAAGAAGAAGTTCAGTGAAATTAATTTGGAATAATAAAGGGTATTTAACCCTTCCCAAGTTACATTTTCTGTCTCACGGATGCAAGCGATTATTCACTTAACAGTTCTTAACATTCTTCAACTTTAACTTAAAAGTACACAGGTTAAAATTTTACATGGGCATCCGAAAAATTTTTTTAACGGATCATGCCGTTAGGAGACGAAAAATTTTCGTTGACCTCCTCAAGGTCCTTCAGACGTTGAAAAACGCTGTGGAGGGATTCGGATTCATTGCAGAAACGATGTGAGCTACAATGAAGCCAGCCACAACATTCGATGGCATCCTGGAGCATGATGTTCCTGGAGCCAGCTGAACCTGCATTTTTCTTTATATCCAGTGAAGCAGCTGCAGAAAATTACCATAGCTACAACAAACTTTAAAGATCAAGCTCTCAGCTGGTACAGAGGAATTGGCAAGTTCTTGTTGGGGGATCCAGGTTCAGATACATACAACTGGGAAAACTTCAAGTCTGCATTGTTCAAAGCGTTTCCAATTGTGAAGGACTACGCGAAGCTAGAAGCGAAATTGTTTAGCAAATATAAA